CATTTGATATCGTTCGCAAATGCTGCGGATATTTTCATTCATTCACACTTAGTCATGCTTTTTGCAACGAAGTATATTTAAAACGGGAGAGAGACATTATCAGAATTTTACCGCAAACTCTTATCTTGAAAATCCTATCAGTTAACCATTATCAAAAGAAACGTGGTTAATGGATCAAACAAACCATCTCTCTCAGGATTTCGATGATGCGATAACACAATCTATAAATTCCGAGCCTGGAGTGCGCCAAGGTCGCTTGTCATCTGGTATTATATATGTAGTGTGCCACGAACCTCTTTTACACAATATCAAAAATAATCTAACAATTCCAGGTATCATCCCATCAGGTGCACAGTATGAAGCTGTACGAAAGAAGGCTTTCCCTTATGATGGAATCGATAGCACAATAAAAACGATAGCATATGCTGCTGATATTGATACTATTGTTCTCAATAGAGATGAGAAGACGGAGACTATCAAAATGTTTGATCTTTACAACAAGGCATCAGATGGAAAAACGAATGTTGAGAAGACCGAGAAAACGATTCAGTCCCGATTCGTCGACACTCACTCTCACACCGCCCCTTCCGCCTTTGAAATTCTTTGATGTATATTCTCTGAAGTGTCCGATTTGTCGACGAATCGGGACGATACCCGAGAAAACCGCTTCTTAGGGTTTCCGATCGACAAACGGCGACATTTACCACCTTCAGAATTAATTAAACTAAAAATGTCTTTAAAACAAAACTTGGAAATGTGATCACAAATATGCCTCTTCCATTTAGAGAGAAGTATAATATTGAAATTTTTCTCTCTTAATTGTATAGTTTACCGAGTTTACTTCATTACAGTCAAAATGTCCATCTATGTCGGAGAGTGATTTATTACCGAATATGTGGATGACATGTAGTATGATTTAGACATATCAATAACCTTGAAAAAAACCGTGACGTTGATATAACACACAAGTAGAGAACGATCACAGCGTGACGGTTGATAGCTATGATGAAACAGTTGCGGTAGTTGAATCGATTTTTTATATTTTTTTGTATTATTTATTTATGCTTATATTAAACGCATTATAAAGAGTTTTTTTCATTTTGATCGATGGACAACTCATCAGATTCCGATCATGCCGTCATTTCTTACTCTAATGTAGCCGCAATTGGTGTTGGAGTAGCACTGGTTGCGGCAGGTGCAATCTATTCAAATTACAAGGTGATTAGAGATAATATGTCATCATTAATGATTGACGAATCAATAGGAACCACTGATAATGTTGATTGGAATTGTTTGACTATTCCAGCTGAAACACAAGGCTGTTCACAAGCCAGAGTCTTCTCAAAATTAGCCGACCGTCAGTTGGTTACAACTGGCAAATCCGAACGTGAAGGTCGTAAATTTCAGACAATTTATGAAGGATTCAAAATTGGAAAAGAAATCGCAAAAAAAATAGGTGATGGAAAATGTTTAGGTTATCGTCAAAATAGAGAATCACCTTATGAGTGGTTGTCATATGATCAAGTTGAACAAGGAGCAATTGAAATTGGCAGCGGTTTAATTCATATTGGCGAAAATTTTGGTCAAAAAACTTTTATTGGAATTTATGCTGTGAATAGTGTAGAATGGATGATGACAGCAGTCGCTTGCCATTTTCATTCTATGATTTATGTTCCGTTATACGATACTTTAGGAGAAATTGCTATTGTTCACATTATTAATCAAACTCGTTTAAGTACAATTTTTGTTGATAAACCGGAGAATGTATTAAATTTAATCAAATTACGGTCAAAAGTCCAATCATTAAAACGTTTAGTCATTACGAGAACAATGCCGGCTGAAAAAGAAATCGAAATTAGAAAACAAGCAACTGAAGCTAATCTCGAAATAACAACATTCAATGAATTGCGGGAACAAGGGCGAGCACATCCATCGCCTGATCATCCACCTAAACCAGATGATTTAATTGAAATATGTTATACAAGTGGCACAGCAGGTTTGCCAAAAGGAGCTATGTTAACACAAACAAATATCATTAGCATTATACAATCGATATCAGAGTTTTTTAGGCTAGTATTTACTGAACAAGAAACACTCATTTCATATTTACCATTAGCACACAGTTATGAACAAGGTATTGAATTATTTTGTTTGTGTAGTGGTCATAAAATTGGTTATTATCTCGGTGATGTTCGTCAGTTAGCTGATGATATAAAAGCACTAAAACCGACAGTAATGCCATGTGTACCACGTTTGTTGAATCGAATGTATGATAATATTCAAACAACAATTGGACGTTTAGGATTCTTTAAACGTTCTTTATTTCAATATGCATTTTCAATGAAATACGAAGAAATAATGCAAAAACATCGTGTTAATCGTCATCTCATATGGGATAAAGTGATATTTAAACAAATTCAACAACGTCTCGGTGGAAATTTGAAATTAGTTGTTAATGGTGCTGCACCATTGTCGCCAAAAATATTAGAATTTTTAAAGATAGTATGTGGTGCATACGTTGTCGAAGGTTATGGACAGACAGAATGTTGTGGTATGGCATCGTGTCAACCACCTGGTGATTCATCAGTAGGAAATATTGGTGTCCCATTAGCTTGTAATATGATTAAATTGTGTGATGTACCTGATATGGAGTATTATGCAAAAGATAATATCGGAGAATTATGTATTAAAGGTTCGAATGTATTTGCTGGTTATTATAACGATGAAGAAAAAACAAGAGAAGCAATAGATGAGGATGGATGGTTACATACCGGTGATATTGCTTCGTGGATGAAGACCGGGCAAATTCAAATAGTGGATAGAAAGAAACATATGTTTAAATTGTCTCAGGGTGAATACCTTGCGCCCGACCGCTTAGAAAATGTTTATATTCAAAGCAAATATGTTGCACAAGTGTATGTGCATGGTAACGCTTATAAAAGTTGTACAGTAGCCATTATTGTTCCTGATAGTGAAGTTTTAGAAAACTATGCAAAAAGTAATAAGTTAACGACTGATATGATAGAATTATGTAAAAGAAAGGATATTAAACAGCTTATTTTGGATGACATGAAAAATTTAGAAACAGCAAATGACTTAAAAGGATTCGAAAAAGCGAAAGATATTTATCTACATCCTGAAGTATTTACCATCGAAAATAATTTGTTAACACCAACGCTAAAGTCAAAACGTCCAGAATTGGCAAAATATTTTGATAAACAAATTGAAGAGATGTATAAAAATATCGATTAAGCCAATTTTTTCATTTGATCAACAAGAACAAGTTCCTTTACTGATGCTTTTATTAGAAGTTTACACTTTTATTTCCTTCGTTTTTAAGCATATAAACACAGCCTGTTTTATTTCCGTTTGCACACATACATCTACTACACACACACAATGAGTCAGATCATAATTTTTTTGTGTTTTGTCTTTTATTATTCTTAGTGTATTTTAACTGATCTCATTGTTGTTGTGTTTGTTTACTTCTTTAGTTTATTATTTTCATTTTAGGTGTTGACCGTGTTTTTAGACGAAAGAAATCCTTAGTGATATATGTCACGTTTTAAATTTGGACATTAATAAAATATTAAGGCTTTATTGTCATTCTATTCATTTTCCCGGGAGTATTTTGACCAGGTTATGTAACTGATATATTTGGAGGATTTTTCTGTTTACAAAAACTGTTCTTTCATACTATTCCAAATGTCCATCTATATCAGAAAATGAATTATTATCAAATATCTGGATGACATGTACTATGATTTAAACATATCAATATCAAATCGAAGTACCTAATTTTTCTACATCGGTCATGCGTCATAGTTTCTTAATTCTGACAATAAAAGACTGGAACAGCTTAGCGCCCGATGTTGTGACACTTTCTTTCTTCAATTTATTTGTTTTAAAAATACAACATTTTCTCTAAGAACTAGTCATTTGTAGTTTGTAATTATTATTTTTGTGTGTGTATTTGTGTGCCATAGGGTAGGCGTTTATAAGCCTCCAACTTTTGTCTATACTCTTTGTCATCGAGAATAAATAAATAAACGTAATAATAACCTTGAACAACGTAATATTTATATTAAACACAATTAGAGAACGATCACAACGCGACTGTCAATAGTTATAATGAAATAGTTGTGATAATTTGATCAAACAGTTTTTAGAAATCAATAAAATGCTAAATGGCTCAAATTTAAAGAAAAATATTTTCAACCAATGTTACTTACTATCATTGATCAAGACATGTCCATCCGCTCCTACGGCGCTAAACAAAACTTACATAGTGTTTAAGAATTTGCTCTTACCTTTGTCTAATGAATTAAAACAACTATTATACAGTCTCGAATTAACTAGAACGTTTTGTAACCGAAAGAATGAAATAAAGAGCGAAACAACATATCGATTTTTAAATAGCACATAGATGAATGCTACAGCAAACAATGATCAAAATTGATTGTCTTAAGTTTAATTATTAAATATACATTGAAAAATGTAAAGGAGCCAAAAAGAGCAAGAAAAAGAGACTTATAAGAAAAACAACGGTCCGACATATTGCATGTGTTGTAAGTAAATATGAATGACTATATAGAGAAGAGAAGATTATTGTAGAAAAATGAGCAAATTAAAAACATACAAGTATTATTGAGAGGAAAAAAATTTTCTTGTAACGTTTTTTAGTATAGCGACGATTATGGTTATTGATTGTTGAAACACAAACATTATAACATAAGAAAAACCGTTGAATATGAAAACGTGAAATAACAAGTAAAAAAAGAATTCATAACAAAAAAAGTGGAGCAACAGTTTTGTTATATTGATTTATTCGTGCGACAAAAGAATAAATAAACAGAGACAAAAAGTAGATCAAAACAGCGCAAAACACTAGGACAGCGGCATGAAGTTCTAATGAGATTCAATTCCATAATTTGAGAGTGAATTAGTGGATATCAGGCTTTTAATAGGTCAGCTTTGAAGTTTAGCTCATATACTCTTGGCTAAAGAATTCAATGTATCTTGTAAATACTCACTTACGAAATAGACATTGGAGATTATTAGCATTTGACAGTTGTAAGAGAAGCGTTGAATACTGCCTATACATTTTCTTCAACAGTCATTATTAATGGGTTAACATATTCAAAACCTTCAAATTCACTTTGATTTATTTTCGCCAAAGCTTCATCATCTTCTGGAGTGAGTACAACGTCTTCATTTGTAAATTGTGGATCAAAATGTGATAGATCATGTTCATTGGCAACTATTGGTTTATAAGGTGGGATAATTTGTTTTGATTCAAGTTTTACCCAATTAATTTGATTAAAAAAAGGATGTATTCGAATATCATCAAATCCTTCATGACATGTTGGACCACGACAACCCAAACGTTCTTTTGGATTTTTGTTCAAAAAACCTTCGAGAACTTGTTTTGCACGAACAGTTAATGAACGAGGTATACGAATTGGTTGTTGAAGAATAACTTGAAATAAACGATCTTCTGTATTTAAATCCGGACTTTCAGCTGAACCAACCATTTCAAATGGACTACGACCAGCCATCATTTCAAACATTAAAACACCTGCAAATAGAACAAAGCGAAATATTCAAAAAATACTTAATATAACAATTGATCATCTAGCGTACCCAGTGCCCACCAATCAACTGAAAAATCATAATCTAAGTTTTTCAACATTTCTGGCGCAATATAATTTGGTGTTCCACAAAATGTCGATGTTTTCTCGCCATTTAGTAGATCTTGTTTACACATGCCATAGTCCGTCAATTTAATATGTCCCTCAGCATCCAACAAAACATTGTCTAATTTCAAATCACGATAGATAACACCATGTTCATGTAAAAAATGTAAACCAACCGTGATTTCTGCTGCATAAAACCTATAATTAATAAAAACAATATATCTTTCGAAAACTGGATCATACTTAAACAAACCTCGCGTGTGCTTCTGGTAATTTGCGTTGTCGTTGCATATGATACATCAGATCTCCTCCCGTCACAAATTCAATCACAAAAAATAATCGTGATGGTGTTTGAAAACACGAATGTAATCCAACTAGAAATGGATGATTTGTGGCTTTTTCAAAAACATTTTTTTCACATTGAATCCAATCAATATCTTCATCATCATTCACAATGGACTTTTTAATCACTTTCATAGCATATAAACGTGATTGCTGATTTTGATTATAGCCGTTCGCCGTTGTCGATGTCATACGATGTTTTGGTCGATACTCAGCTAAAAACACTTTAGCATACGAACCACGACCAATTACTTTCAATAATTCAAAATCTTGTAAACTGATTGTAGATGATGACGAGTCATCGATATAATTCGAATTTCGATCATCTGTGAGCATTTCATTTCTTGGATAAGGAGATGAACCATCGACAATGCTTGATGATAATTGCTGATCTAAGTCAGACAAACCTAAAATAACTCACATTGTAATACATGTCGGTGATGAATGAGCTCTATTTACCTGGAAATCGCTTTAGTGATCCTGGTTCATTAACCGTTAACATTTTTTGTTTAACCATTGGATCTCTTGCATTCATACCACTAGCTTCGACTAGACGATGTCGACCAATTTTATCCTGTGGCTGTTGTAGTTGATGATGATGTGAATAAAATCCATTTTGCTGATGTTGATTTTCAGCAGTTGTGGGTGTTTTTCGATTTTGCCGACTGCTATCAACATTTTGTTTATTTGTATTATCAATATTAGTTTTTTGTTGTAGCGGCTGAGGAGAGACCGATGTTGATAAACCACAAACGATACGTAATTGTTTGACACAACGTTTATGAACAAGTACACGACAATCAAGACATTTGTAGCCTACATAAAAACGAGAAAAAACTTGGTTAGAGTAGGAGTTAATAACCAGTTAAAGTTGAGAGTTATCTATAAAGATTACCTTGTCTTCCTAGACCCCATAATCGATCATTACATACTGTACACGACGCTGTTGTGCTAAATCGTTTAGCTTGATATCGATGTCCATTAATTAGATATAATTTTCGCCATCTTCTAGCTCCTCGTCTATAGATAATTCGATCTTCTCCAGTGCATAACAGTCCCGGTTCATCCGGCTTTGTATTAAACACATGTATATGTAATTCTTTATCATTATTTTTATGATATAATCGGATAGCAGTAAATAGTTCTTTTTGTGTTGTTATAGTGATCGCATCCAATGCTTCATCTAACCATTTGATAGTGAAAATATTATAAGATGATGGAAATTGACAAATGGAACGAATATTAGTAAGAAAATTTTCCAGACTAATATCATTGGGTAAATAAATGACGGTCGATAGTTCATTATAATGAATTAAAAATTTTGTCATATTAGATTGAGATTGGTCATTGTAATCATAGCTTATTATTGAGGGAATAGGAGTTGAAGATGTCGAAGCCATACAGAATAACTTAAAACAAGTAAATGAACCAGTTATGAGACATTTTATAGCCTAAAACTACTCAACTTCATGTAAGAGATCATCTAACTTATCTACCGTCTCGCCGCTCCAACAACCGAAAAAAAATGTCATGCAAGTCTGAAACATGGAAACACTGCAGTTTCTATTAGCGTTTGGTATTTAAATCTCAAACTATGTATTACTTAGCATAGCCTGAATCACTTATGTATTAGCTTTCAGCTATTCAAATCAAATTCAATTATGAAAAGGAAAAGAACAAATACATTTTAACTTACATAATGGAATTGAATAATAAAGCTAACAAACACACATTCCAATTTAAGGACCCAGCAACCGCAAAATGGAATGTATATTTTATCTAAAAAAATAGGCTGAAGAAAAATCGTTTCACAAATAATAAAATAGATGGATTAAAGTAAAGTGTTGTAACGGTACAACTATCGAAAGAATGATATAGCAAAACAAACTGTATGGGTCCCGTTAGTGTGTGAGCAAAAAAAGATCATTATACGAACATTATCTAAAAGATGATAATCATATTTTTGAAAACTCACTAATCTCTTAGTTTTGAAATAATATTTTGTAAGATATATTGAAGCCAAATTGTTATAGTATTGATGTTTAATGTGGATGTCTTTTTCTGCTTTTCATGTGATAAAAATGCTATTCTACTGTTGCCGTGATAACTTTGTATAAATGACTCCTACTCTCGCTAAATCTCTACAGAACTTCTAATATAAAAAATTAAGAAGTTCGCCAATAATCACATTTAAGTCAAACTTGACAGGCAAACTAGCAAAAATGAAACCATTAAAAATAACAAAAATATCTTTTAATCAAATGTCTTGGTTGTATCATAAACAATAAACTATAAAAACATCTCTTATGGCTAAAAAAATAGCAGACTGTTCTCAATTTCGACATAGGAAAATATACATAAAATCTGCCCTAATTAAAAATGAACATCTGACATATACACCAGTTTACAACAGTTAAATATTTTTGTTTTGAATTCTATTTGGATGTAACATGTTTTTTATTTTTAAATGTCTCGATAATCCAACTCGTCTAATACCAGGTGAATGAATTATAATTTTATCTGTGGGAACGCCAACTGGCAGTGATGAAGAATCTAGAAAAGTGAAAATGAAGATGACTAATAAACTGGAAAAAGATGAAAACATACCTGCTAAAACACTAGAACTCATTAGTACACGATTACTTCTTTTACAAGATTCTCTATGGTTTTTGGTGGTTTCATTCGAAACAATACTATCCATTTCTGTTCTAACAACGTCTAAACAAACGAGAGACAAAATATACTTTACAAGTAAACTTTGATACGATAAGCGATTTTTGGTCAATAGATTAACTGTATCAATGATCATCGGTAGATTATTCAAAGTCTCATGATAGAAAACTTTCATCCCAGAAGAAACTAACCCATAGCCGGATAGTTTTCTATAATTTCTGTATTATCATCAATATCAAGATCTTGATCTGTTCGATTAACTAAATAATAAACACAAACATAAAGGTTCACTCATTCATATAAATAAAGAAGAATGAATAACCTTTCACTATTTGTGTCGATACTTTAGTTGTTGATATCGACTTTTTCTTTGCATCTGTTTCAGATTTTTTCTTATTTTCATCAACTGTTGTTTTCCTTGTTCGAGTTTTTTTTTCTTTTTGTGGATGAACAACAATATCCTTTTTATTCTTTGTCACGTTTTGTGTTGAATAAAAACCATCGTCGTCAATATTATTAGATACAACTGGATTTTTCATTGTTGTTTTAAACTAAAAAATAAATAAAACAAATTCATCTTAAGACTTTTTTCTGCTGATTTACAAACAAAAGTAAAGACGTTTAGGCTCCAATTGCAAATTTCTGAATAGGACCAGATACACTTGGAAAATTTTCTTAACAAGCTTTTGTTTCAAAAGAGAAGGTATGCTAAGAACAACAGAATACAGTCTTTAAACTCATTTCTAAAAGTTTCTAGTGATTTATCTGGTTTTCTCAATCGTAGGCTTCAGTAGTCCCTGTAGTTAATAAATAGGTCTAGATACGATTAGATAAAAAATGCAAAATCAATAGGTTTAGTATAGACGTGATGATATTATTTGTAAGTCAATAAATGTCTGAAATGCAGATAGATAGTTTCTATTCTCAAATGCTGTTCATTGGTCACGATTAAAACGTCCGCAGCGTGACTTGTGCAATATTGATTTGGTAAGTTTTTTTCTTATACTTTAAGACTAATCAATTGCTACAGGTTTAACATACACTGGATGCTGTTCTTGTACAAACAATTGTTTCTGTGATTTTTCTTGAGAAATAATTTCATTTTTAGCTTGATAATACATAGAAAAATAACAAAATGAAAATTTAGAATGTTCAAATAAACTTTATCTAAATTATATCACATAGCTTATCTAATTTATCCAGTAACAGAGACAAAGAAAACAATAATAAACGACCAGAAAATCAAACCATATCATCTGACATAAAATAATACTATCAACCAATCTGAATAGGCCTATTTACAATAAAAGGTAACATGAGACGAAAATAGATAGTACACTGAGAAATTTTCTCTCACGTAAGTGTCCATAGTTTACATGTAGAAAATAAAATGTGAGAAAAAAAAAGAAAATAAATATATTTTGACATAGTAAATATCTCTTTATTCCTTCAATGTTGAATCCATCCGAGGATTTCGATTTGGATGTAAAGGTTTTGCAAAAGATTTTCGACTTAGCCCAACACGATGAACACCAGGAGATTGAACAACAATTTTGCTTGTTGGAAAACCAAGAGGACCTTTTGATGTCGATGTTAACGTTGTTGTTATACCTATAAATGGAATAATAATGTTCCGTTAAGAAGAAAATTTTTTATATTTTCTCTCAGCTTTAAGCGAAAACAAAGTTAGAAATAATTCCATATTTTTTTTCTTGTTCGAAATAGAAGAAGTATACAAAACTAACTTAATGATGATAAATTTGTTTTCTGTCTTGATGCTCGTGGCGCATTTAGATCGATTTCGGACATTGTTTCAGTTACGACTGATGGTACAGTAACTTCTAATAAAGACAAAAATAAAAACGAACCACGTTTATCTCTACAGAGCGAAACAGTACCTATCTGTTGTTTTGCTGTGATTTTTCTTGTTGTTTTTGTTGTTTTCGATTTTGATTTTTGTACAATCTCTTCGTCTTCTTCATTCTCCAATTCCATTTCTTTATCATTTTGCTCATTATTAACTGCAGCATCAACATCTAAAAGTTATCTCATCTAGTTTATCCAAAACGTCATTATTCTCAATATAAACTTGGAAGATACAACAACATTTCCGTTTTCAATGAAAGTACATACTTGTTTGTTTTTCTATGGTTTTCTTCGTTTTATGGTTTTCGTCATCGCCATCAGAAGTGCTCCCTTTACTCGTTTCATCATCATTTATGATATTTGTCGATTCGGTATCATTTACTTCCATTTCTGGAGCAGAAAAAGTATTGGGATATTGCAAAAAAACTTTATTTCTATTGATTTTCTTTGGTACTAACCATTCTTAGTTTTTGTATCATTTTGACTAATTTCCTCATTGGTTATTATCGCGGGGATTTCGGTGGATTTAACAGAATCACAATCATTGTCAACTGACATTGTAGCCAAGACGGTTGAGTCGTTCAAAGAGATTTTAAGCGCACGATCCAGTTCGTCTTGTTCAGCTTTTGTCATTCTAAATAATATTGAAAAATTTACAAATAAAGCTTGATGTAGCGACTATCAATCGATGCTTTCTAATGCAAAAAGCAAAACCGTTTTGTTTGATAAAATACAATCAAAAAGATTATTCTAGTAGCTCTCAATTCTTCAATCGTAGAAAAAAGCTTCATTTTCTAACCCTCGCTTACCGTTCTTTTCTTGCTCTTGTTTTTGATTCATTTCGTTTAGAAATAGTTATTGTAGATGCTGATGGATCACTTTTTTTATTATCTATACTTCGACGTTTTTTTGTATCATTCGACAACGAAACAAAATCTTAAAAGAGATAAGAACATAAAGTCGTGTTTGAGTACGTTTTAGTTATGTGTGACTCTAACCATCATCTGAATCACCATCTTTTTCGGCATATGACTTTACTTTCACTGCTCTAAATAAAAGGAAAAATGTTAAAAGGAAAAAGCATTCAACGTTTAACCATACAAACCTTTTTGCACGTGACATTTTCCACTAAGGAATGTCAAATCAATCAAATTTTAAAGAAATATATAAAACATAAACAAATAGAAAACGATAAATAACTCGTTTTGGTGTGGACAATGGATGAAAAAGACATTCATCTTCCAAATCATTTTAGTATAGATCAAGCTCTCATTGCTGTAGGGGTTGAGTGAAAAGTGAAAAACAAGTCTTAAAAAGTTTGAAGAGTTTTAAAAAAGATTATTCAATCTATTTTTTATGCTCCATATGATAACGATGTGTTACTGAATTGCAGACTTATAGATGTATTTGACTTTTTTTTATCTTTTCATACTGCCAACATGTTCAGGAAACTTCATCAAATTCTTTTGGATATTCAACGACACCATACACATTTCCATTATGTGACATTGTTTCTTTAAGTTTATCTGGTATTAATTCTAAGACAAGAAAACAATTTTCATTCTCAATAGAAAATGGCGGATGTATATGATATTGACTGATGGCTGGTTTAAAACCAAAACGTGGATAATAATTTTCGTGTCCAAGTACAATGATACAATGATAACTCATCAAATAACTTCTTTTTATATTGTCCAAAGCATATGATATCAATTTTGAACCGATTCCACGATTCTGATAAGAAGGTAAAACACTAATAGGAGCTAAAGCTAAACACTCATTGACTGATAGATCCAATTTTTTGTTATCGTTTTTAGAATAGAGCTGGATTTTTATCGGAAAGAATAATAAATAACCAACAAGAAGACGTTGAGTTCCATTTTCGTATATAGCAACATAAGAAAGATTTGGATCAAAATTGTGATTTTGTCTTAATTTTTCAACCAAACGTGCCTCATTATCCTGTTCGAAAGCGCTTTTATTCACCTCATATACATCTGAATAGTCAGCAGACACTTCACCACGTATTTGAATATGATCTATTAGATTTGACTGCGTCATCTGAAACAGATGAATGTAGATATGTAGATGACCAGTAAAACTATCACAGATGTGCGAACAGTTAAAACTGGTGTAAATTCGCAAAACAAAGCTATGTTGTTCTCTTTAATTGACTATAAACAAGAATATGGAACAAGTGATCGTATTTAGAGCAGGAATAAATAGCCAGAAATAGCTGATCACTAACGAATACTGAACGTAGTTTCTTACTCAGATGTTCGAACGATTTAAAATTTTCTTAGGAAAATGTGCCGTTTAATTTTCCACAGAAAATCTATAGTATTTTATTACAAAATGCAAAAATAAAAAGCTATACGAAACATAATGAAAAATTCAATGGTCAATTATCTAGCAGAGAGTTTAATTTCTCCCAAATATAGATAAACGCATCGAGTTGCATAAGAGTCAATCTGATACCTTGGGATGTGCTTCTTTTTTAATACAGTTCCACAAACTTATTATCTAACATTATGATCTAACATTAGTTTTGTGGCATAATCTAAAGTGGGATTTGTCAATCTTTTTAATATCATATGCACATTATGTCATTATAGCGAAAGCGACTGTCACGATGATAGATGATGAAAAGAAAGCGCGCGTGTAGAATGAGTCATCACAACGCTTGCCAATTTTGAATATCAATGGTTTACAAATAAGCTAATCCCTGTTTCTTCTAGCAACCATCAAATGTTATGAAATAACCATCAGTCTGACATGTGAAAAAAAATCTTTTATATGAGAAAACCTCCAGCTCTCAATTGTTTTTATGTGAAAATATACATATTTTCCATTATTCCATCAGGAATTTGAATAGTGAAAGAGGTATCCATAGTTACCCCCACCTGAGCTTGTTAACCGTAAATCTCCGATCAAACTGAGCCTGTAATTTAGTCTCGTTATATCTTTAAGTGTGAAAGTTAAGTAGTCATTTCTGTTCAATTCGACAAGTTGAAACGCTAACTTATGTTTAAGAAAGCTCTTCTTTTTAAATTGACAGATATTTTCGAAGAATTGAGCCAATTCAAATGAAAAAAACAGTTGAATCCTGAAGTTGTTTACAATTCCCCTACTTTTTAGCTTTCTCTCTAGTTCTTTATTTAAATCAACTGAGTGAAACTAAGGAGACTTATTGCTTTTCACTCCGAGCGTTGCCTAGCAGAAATGTTCTTTCAGCCGACCGAGGGAAACTCGGGAAGGTCTATTCTTTTTTACCACAAAAACATTCTTCTTTAAATCGACTGAATGAAACTAAAACAGACTTATTCAGTTTAACTTTGCGCGTTGCCCAGCAATAAGGTTTCAACGTCTTTATTTTCAATGAAGAAAAGAAAAAGACTAAAGCTGACAACGGATACACACTTGACTAAAGTCTTTTGTCTCAAAAGTGTTACATTTAAGACTAGATTCTAGTTGATTTGTATCTTTCATATTTCTGCAAGTATTTCTCTGAGAGCTGTTTCCATCAGTTGGTCATTGTTTGACTGAGATCTTGTAATTGACTGTTTGAGAAGCGTGATGAGAATACAAGTAATACACAAATGAGTAAGAAGGAATAAGATGTTTAGTTTCATAACCATGTTTAAAAGTCTGGCGATAGTATCACAAAAGCGTTTTCACACACAGAAACTGTCAATACTAGAAGAAAACGTGGCATACACAGTGCTTCTATTTTGTCAACCCGCATCAGAGGTCTGTATGAACTCGAAGTTTGAGTCCAGTCCAGTTCAAGCCCATGAAAAATAGTCTTTTTAGTCCAGTGAGTTTCCAGTCCAGGCCTTAATATAAAAACATGTTTTCTACCGATTTTTCCTCGGTTCAAATCCATCCAAAGTATTTTTTCGGGTCAAGAACAGTCCACGATCTTGAAAATTTGAGTCCAGTCCATACTGATCTCTGATCCACACTCACTGTAAAATTTTCTCTATCTTCCACTGACTCGTATTTTGTTCCGTGACTCATCTTTTACGTGATTTCAATTTTTTTTCTCTCTCGCACATACCATTACAATGTTTTTGATATCAATAACGAATGTACACACCAGACATTTCTTCTTTGTCTTAGAAAAATGCTAACTCTAAAAGATCGCCTACTTCAAATGCCTTCTCGTTTTTTCTCCATAATACGTAGTTTTCACAAAACTTCCTATGCAAAAGTTGTAGACTAGGGTGTTAGGCACCGATTAGTTCAAAAATCAATCGGAAATCTTACCAGCAAAAAGATTGGAAGCAGTTTTACTGGAGGAGGGTCCGAAATGTTCTTATTTCCCGCAAGTGGGAAATTAGAACGTTTGCTGTGTCTCCATGGGGTAAATAGAACGCATCTACCAAAACACACGAGATTCTTTCACAAACGTATTTGGACTTTGGTAATCGTGCTTCCAGGTATGTTGAAACACACGGAAGACATAAAATGTAGCAGACATTCACCTCTATCCACCTATATAGATTAAAAGTCTAACGTACTATAAGATCTCAAGATAGTTTGTCCGCCACATATGAGACTCTAATTTCAAAAAAATTCTGTGCGTTCCTATTTCCCACAAGTGGGAAATTAGAACGTTTGCTGTGTCTGCATGGGATAAATGGAACGCATCTACCAAAAGTAATGGGAATTTCTTTAGAATGTATTTTCTATTTTATATCTCTATTTTTCACACTATAGATACAAAGTTCCTTAGGAAAAGATTTAGAGAATTGTTTCACTCACGAGCTAATGTACTTTGGAAAGTCAATGCACGTACTTCGGAATATGACGGAGAGCACGAAGAGGATTTCCCCATGTTCATACAACGGGAACATGGAGAAATGTAAAGAATTATTTTAAAAAGTTTTCTAACCGTAATAAAACTCTGTAAATCATATGAGCAGTGGTGTATGCCTTATGCGAAATGTAGAGGAAGTTTGTCATCCTGACTCTAAACAAGCAACTGCTAAGGACGATCGCCTGGCTTTTGGTTAGGGACAAGGATCGCTGATACCATTAAAAGAAGGAAGGTCGATGAGGTCAAGAACCTCATTCTATAAATATTTTCAGTACCTCGTTGTTCTTAACATGGTCATTAATACAATTTTCCATGAGTTTTAATTTACAGACTATGGCAGCATACTTTGTGTTTCGAAGGGGAAACGTATTAAGAAGACTGTTCGTAATAAAAACAGTCACCAAAACGTTTTCAGATTGTGTATCATATGTTGGACTATTTGTTGCAAAATGTGGAACAAGATTGGCACTCATATTATGAGGTTTGTTACTACAACTGTTAGGTTTAATTAAAACCGGATGTCCCAAAAGTCCAAATGAAAAGCAAACTTTAATAACTCCGTCATTTCTTAACTAAACTTCAAGGTTATTTCTTCGCTTAATGGAGAAAAGTTTCAAGTTTTATTTGCTGTGTTTGGACAGTTTTGTTAATACTTGAAAGAATTGTTCGGGTTTATTATAGTGGGACTCAGGTTTTTAGAATCTTTTCTTAATAAATTATCTACTGAAAAACGCGGAACCCTTTCATATAACAAAATAATTAGTTGCTTTTGTTATTGTGTTAAGCTTTAAATACGATATTAATAATAAATAAATTTGATTTTTGTATTAACACCAGGTAGCGTCGATGATTTCTAAAACTTGGGAGATGTACCCTACTATAGCACTCAAAAACGTTTCTGAATGGAACTTAAATGATCTTTAATATTAAAATAAAGTAGATGATGTTCCCTTTTCTTACTTGGAACATCTTCCCATAGAATCTTTTCTAACTTGCGAGATGTGTCTTTTCAGTGCTATAGTAGGGCACATCTCCCAACTTTTAGAAATCATCGATGCTATCTGGTGTTAATACAAAAACCAGATTTATTTTGACTGCGCTCTAATTGTCCCACGTACCTCTAAAGCAGGCCTTGCTTTACATTTTGATTTATTGTTCGTGTATATCAGGGGTTAACCATTATTTTGTAATAACCATTTTTTTATATGGACAATCTGGTTTCTATACTTAAAAACTTTAATTCTGCACTTCTCACGAGGTCATTCCGGCCATATGTATATCAATATTAAATCAAAATCTATTGTATATAACAAAAACAAAAACATGTCTAGTGGTTCCAATAATGACGCCAGTGGAATTTCTGTAAGTAAAGAAATGGATCTTCATACGATTGTGCATCGTTTGCAGAGAGTTTCACACTGGCAATTTTTTGAAAATGTCTTTTTTGAAAATGTCACATTCGGAATCAGCACGCTAAGGTGGATGCATTGAATGATATCTTTTTGAAGAAAATAGCTCAAACAGTTTGCCCTTAGTTTACTTGCGATATTTTGACAAGAAAGATTTTTTTGAAAAATTTCTTAGTTCAAAAATTTTAACCCTTTCTTGCGGGGAGTGTTTTTTGACTCAGAGCTCAGCCCGTATATAAACGGGCCCCGGCACGAAAGGATTAAGCAATGAAGAAGCATAGTAGAGCAGATAGAAACGTTTGTTGTGAGACAGACTTTTATTAACTTATTTTTGCATATTTTGTTCATAAATATTCATTATTTCGACGATATATATGCGCCAATAGTAGATGTATCAGACGTGTAGCATGTTCTAAAGGTACTTCTCTCCATAAAAGAAGTAACCTAAGATACCAAAAAAAAAATTTAATAATGTTTACTTTTAAAAGAGATGATAAACTTTAAAAATTGATATCTTTTTCATGCAAAAACGTTAAAATACTGTTCTTCATCTTTTTTCCTTGCTGTTTTTTCATGTAAATGAGGAAGTTTACCAATTGCACGGCCTTAAAAAGAAGAAAAAAGATTGGTGTAACCGAGAACAGACATTTTGAAAAGTATTTTTGCTTAGAAAAATGATTCTTTTGTTCTTCAACTGGATCTTCTAGCAGTTTATTCGTATCATTTCGAATCTCTTCCCATATTTACTTTGCGATCATGTAAACCACCTTATAAAATTATATTAATTACTTGAATGAACTGTAATCGTTGTGAAGAATATTTATTTAGTGTGCATTTGAATCCAATACGTAGATTTTTATTAGTATGGGTTACTGGAACAACAGGAAACAGTAACGATGTCACAAAAAAAGCAAGAGAAGGTTAGACCTCAATGCTATGGTGAATATCAGTGAAATGGGGTGTACCTACAGTTTAGAAATATTAGTCTGAAACTATACCACTGACGTTTTGTCAAAATGATGATATCGATTCTGATCCAGCATTGTACTAATGTTTTAGCCATCGGTTCTCTGATTAAGACACTGATTCTTCCAAGAACAGATCGCCGATTTCCTGACCAGAAGACTGGTTTTTCCTGCAGTGGAATCGAAGTTTCTTGGTCCAAATCATTTCAGTAACTACATACGTTTTCCTTTGTTATCGTAACCCATTTGGGGCGTTGATTTTTCTTTAAATATAACTGATAATGGAGAAAGCTGTTTCACTTGGTATACTACTAGGTGAAAGTGCTATATGACGTTTTGCAACACTATTCATTCCACACAAGATCAACACCGTTCATATAAAATAAAGTTCACCTTCACCAGAACATTCATGTTCATGTTCAAGGAACGCGAACGTACTTTAGTGTTACGTTCAAAGAGAACGCTAAAAAAGTACGCTGGAACAGATGGCGCATTGAAAGGAGAGTTGATATTTTTTCACTCCTTGTGGAGGGAGAATTTATTAGATTTTCATTCAATATTATACGAACAACACCTTCAGCATAGTTCAATAAATTTGTACAGATCGGCTTTATCTGTACACTTTAACAACTTGGAAGATTACAAAGGAGGACAGCACCCGCTAGTGCTAGTCTTGATGAAAGGCATTTACAACCTTCGACCTCCACAGCCACGCTACAACAATACCTGGGATGTGCAGACTCTGCTGAATTACTTGATTCTACTAGGATCAAATGAAGAGATGAGGTTAAAGGTGTTTACACATAAGACTGCCACCTAGCTTGTGCAAGGCGTCTGGAATATCCGAAACTCAAAAACTCAAATTCAAAAATATGTTAGTTTATGATCATACGATTAAATTCTTTTTGGATGAACTAACAAAAACACAGAAGAAGGGCAGAAAACTAGAACAATTGCATTTCTACAAATTTGATGAGAATCAAAAGTTAGATATTGTGGCCACGCTCGTACACTATATTGAAAGAAAGACACAACTGAGAGCTATTGACACAGCAGAAGACGATCGTCTCGTACTCACTTATATAAAACCACATCACCCAGCTAAAATTTACAACATCGTAAACTGAATTAAAGCTACGATAAACGGGCAGACATTAATGGAGATAGATTCAAAACAATCATTAATGAATTCTATTTGGGGCGATTATTTGGATAAATTTGTATTAGTGTATTTTGTTGCATTATGACATAAATACGCGCTCTAGAAGTGAAATAGCATTGTTTCCAAGTGTATGGTATAAGTGTAGATCCGGCTAAAGCTAAATAATAAACAAAATATGTTTATCTAATACCTATCTATTAATTGATTCGTTTGGTATAATTGACTTTGACTAGCTCACGTTGAGCGTTTACAGTTATTCACATTAGGAAACGATGCTGATCGAAAAGAACTTTGAAAAAAATTTAATAAGCATGCACGTCAATCATAAAAACAAGAAAATTAAATAGACAGTGTCGCTGATGAGGATGGCAATCTTTTTAACCAAGGGAGGACATTATACATCGGATTTCCCTTTATACACGCTTCTGTTAATTCGTAAAACTCCTCAACAACGAAAACGAAAAAGAGAGAAAAATTAAAAATGAGATAAGTCTTGATCTAGATAGAATTAAATACACAGTCATATAATTCTCTTATATAAAATGTATTCTTTGTAAAATATAGAGTAAATGTACTTTTGATCACCAAATTTTTCAGCATAATCTCACATTTTTATTTCTCAACAATGTATAATGTACAACACAAACATATTCACTGAAATATTAACCAAATGAAGAATATTTTTACAGTTTTATTTATTATATCTATTTTACAAATTTAAAGCTGTGCTAACTTTCTTGGGAGGCCCTTTTGTTTTTCGTTTGCCTAATGGTTGAATACATCAGAAATCATTGAATGTATCATTGGCTAGATATTTATCGTTCTCGTCGGCGGCTTACACTCAATGATTTTCTGGTGTGGTAACAATCCTGTTAGCTTGTTGTACCATTAGAGTCATGTAGCTGTTCGATTGGCATGAAAGTATATTCGTGTAAACATTCTGCTGGATTAGCAATTTTATTTAACTTATATCAACTTAGCGATGAAACACGTATTCAACCAGTAGGCAAACGAAAAGCAAAAGGGCCTCCCAAGAAAGTTAGCACAGCTTTAAATTTGTAAATATTACTGATATAAATAAACTGTGAAAATATTGTTCATTTGGTTAATAAAAATATATTCAATACACAAATTCATTCACAACAGATTAAGATTACAATACGATAGGAACTATTCAGAGAAAATCATAACGATTTTGTAGCCTTTATACAGTGCATTGACATACATGTATTCAGTAAAATAGAAGTAATTTAAAACTGGAATTATGTTCCTGTTTAAAATTTCCATATCTTCATTGTTTATCATAATACACAACTTCTAGCACTAAGGTCTTATGGATTGATTGATTATTCCAGTAGAATATAAAAAATCCTTAATGAACGACACGAGTGACGAGTGACGGCGAGAATACAAAAAAAGAGATGGTCATGAAATGATGATGACGATGAATTAACAGCACGAAACACTTCGATTCGATATTCT